GGCAATGGCTTCTCCAGACTTAATAAGATGTAAATTATGTACATAAATCGCGGCGTGTAGAGTGCGCTCATTTCATGCCCATTGCCTTTGATAACACGTATGCATACATTATAATACTTTAATTTTCCGAAAACTGCAAGGGAGGTGTGTTCCGGCTTTTTGTACTCGAAATATAGGCTGGTATATCCCACTCACTAAAAAGCTAAAAAAACCTTTAGGGGTGGTTTTACAGAGCACATACAGTCATGAATCTGTATTATAACTACCTCTGAAGTATTGTCATGACAAAAATAAAGATTTGAGTTTAAAACTTTATGTATATTCTCTCTATTCGGTTCACACGAACACGAAAAAGCCTGTGGGACCCCTGTCTGAGAGAGATTTTGCTTATTATTATGCAATATATCCCACAAACCCTTGGCATCGTAAACTCAGAATGTAAATTGACGTAATGGCGTCGAAATGTGGCGAAGAAGAAGAGGAAAGCAGGTATGTAGAACGAGTTTAAACCCCCATTTTGAAAAACAGTTTTCACCGTCCGCCATTTTGAAATTCGCGACATAATCCTTTTTATACCAAAACTGTTTCTGTTTGTTCTAGAGTCGATAAACTGTGCTCGAAGAGCAGAAAGTGCAGTAAAAGCAATTATCACTCTGGCAGGTGCGATTCGAAGAGAGCGGTTGTGAACCCATTTTGGAACCGTTCTCCGATACAGGTGGGAAATGCGATCAAGAGGGAAGCTAGAGATGCTGCTGAAGCTATCACAAATGATTGTGATCGGAAGAAAATTCGTGTAGAGGAAAGGGAGGCTAGTGTTCATGCGAGAGAATCAGAACTAATAGAGAAGGAGAGAAAGATACATGAAGTAGAAGAGCGAGCTAATGCAACAAGACTTGAATCAGGTTGAATTTGACTTCGTGTTCTAAATTTAGATACATCAGTGCATACATCCTTAAACATCTGTTTGTGCCTCCACTCAATAAACATGTATATCAGCATCATTTTCTATTGTCGATCCACATGTATTCTTATAGCAGACATTTCCGCTTGGTGGCTTAAAATATTGTGTCATATAAGTTAAGTAAGCTCATTATCATATGCGACAAACATAAGCTTACATAGTTTTATTTTCTATGTTTTAGAGGAAGTAGAAAGGCGGAAGGAGGCGATTGAGGAGGAGCTTAGAGAGCTGGAGGGGAGGTTAGACAGTATTGTGAAAGAGTATGAGAAAGTTAAGACACTTTTGGAACAAAGGCATCATGCCAAGGCACGTAGAAAGAGTAGTGCAACTACATTTGAAATGGTTAACAACCCTAAATCAAGCACACGATATAGACGGCGACAGGAAACTAGGAATATCCTAGAATTTATTCATGGTGGGGAGCAGGGTGCAATTTATGGTGCTTGGGATTTTATTGCATCATGTGCAAAAAAAGAGATCATGGAAAAATTAATAACTTGTCATAAAAGGGGTCGGTCTCTACAGGGTGTGTTTAGGAAGGCAATGAAAGAGTATGGAACCAGTGAAGAAGCCTTAAAGCAGGCTGTTTCTATAAAGTATCAAGCATTTTTGTCTAGTAGAAAGTTTCAACTAATCTGTAAAACCCAAAGTTCTGTGTTTAATGCTGAAAAAGATCTTTGGTTACCCAGGAATGTCAAGTGTGCAGGTGTGAATGTTGCTATTCCTCGTGTAGCATCAGATGAGAAAGTAGACAAGTTTGTAAAGAGTTTAGATATAGAGCATGAATGTGAAATTCCTATTTACTCTAAGGTATCTAGAACTGTCACTGGTTTAGTTTTCATGACACTTGATTTGCATTTGCGTTTACCTTATTTGAGGAACCAGCTCATCTGGTTTAACGAAAATACCAATCATTTTATTGTACAGTTTTCTGATGATGGTGCCCCAGAAACTAGTGATCCAAGTATGTCTATTGGGTCACTAACTGTTTGGAATTTTGGGGATCATGTTAGGAGTAGGGATTTTCAATATCTTTTGCATTGCCTAAGTGTATATGAAAAAGACAGGGTAATGGAAGACCCTTGGAAACAACACACAGAGGAGATGTTAATGCTAGAGGGTAATGTGGTAACTATTTGTGGTCAGCAGTGTACCTTGGAGTTTCAACCTAGTGCTGATCAGTCTTGGCAAAGTTGGGGTAATGGTGAGTTAAATCAGGCTGCTACTTACCCTTCCCCTTAAGCATTTGTTCACAAAGGTAGTTTGGGTACTATGGGGGCATGTATAGGGCATTCATTCTCAGATACCTGGAATCCACCCTCCATGAAGAAGAGGAAAGCAGATCTTCTAAAACTAAACCAGTGTAGAGATTCACTAAGCAAGTCTCTTAGTCAAGCCAAGAAGGATAAAAAAGAACTATCTTTCATGGCAGAGAATGGAATAAGAAAAGTTGTTTACCCCAGGATTGGTGAGTTTGCAGATCGTCAAAGACCAGAGCTAGTGCAAAATGAGATTAATACTTGGCAGCATCTGCTAAATGTTATCTACCGTGAAGCTTTACAGAGAGATTTGATTGAGGACTTTTTAGAGGTTCTGAGTTGACCTTTACAAGTTCAGGATAGTCCTCAGGAGAGAAAAACAGCTTCACTCTATATTGTCAAGTTACCCCGAGGGTGCTGGAGATAGAGTTAGGCAGTCCGAACTAGTTAGAGAGCAACATAAGGTATTTCAGCAAGCAATGGGTAGTACTGCAGCAAGTGGCAGTGTCATAGGTAATTCAGATAGGAAAGGCTGTCAGTTGGCATTTCTTGCAAAGAAGATTAGGGAACACTACAATGACAAAGACAAAAGGAGCAACAACATTGCTACAAGGTTGATAGGTGAAGAAGCTGTTTCATTAGCCAGGTATTCATTTAGATTAATTGATGCCCTCCGCATGAATGATGAGTCTGGTCCTTAGAGGGTTAAGCACCTGGCCCTTGGTAAGGCAGCTCAGTATCTTCGAGACTCTGGGATGCTCTTCAGCAAGGTTGAGCCAAATTCAGTTGGAATGAATCAACTAAAGCACTCTTGCACCATGTACTTCAACCTTATCTCTCTATTCTTCCCAGATGAACAAGATTTTATAATCAGTTTAATAGTATTAGGGTAGAGCCTGAACTTGGAAGAAGTTTCCTCCAATATAGAGGCCCATTAGTATATGGAACTTTATAAATAAAAAAAGTTAAACTACGTAATGTTAGCAAAGGGTTTAAATCAATACTAAGAAAGCACTCAAAAGACATTCTTAAATTCTCATTTAATAAGGAAGCCATTCTAATTTCAAATAAGAAAAACGACTTTGTTTATTATCGATCTTACGGATTCTATAATTCCACCATTTAGTTTATCTATTACTCCTATCTATTATCTATTTTAACTTTTACCTATAACAGCTTTCTTGTAATTAGGCACGTGGTGTAACTGTGTTTGTGGTGTTTGTGATTGTTTTAGTGTATGATATATTTTACATATTTTAGATAGTTTAACATAGCAGGTCCACATCAGCTGATAGCTGCCGATGCAACTATTAATTTATAATTTTTAACCTGCTTTATTAAATAGAGAATTGATTGATTGATTGATTGATTGATGTTGTTAACTTAACAGTTTGGACAATCGGCTATCCCCTACCCTGCAGAATTGCTCTACAGACAGTACAAGGTTGGTTATGGTATTATTTCTTTGCAGACAAAGGAATCAAAGCATTCAGGTGTGAAGCAGGACCTAAATTTAACGAATAGGTCTCGCTCAACAAGCAATGTAGGTAAGTGGTGGCAGCTAATGCGCACTAATTGTGTCAGGGCATTTGATTTGCCTGAACATCAGCCTGTGCCGTCTACCTACATATCCAACTTCGAGTCTCGACTTCCACCTCACTGCAACGATACCCTTAACTTCTGCAAGTGTGGACGATCACGAGATGAAGCTTCCTTTTGTACATTTTGGGAGGAGTCTAGAGATATTGTAAGGTGTGCCCAAGAAATGAAATTAAATGAAAAAACTTATAGCTATCTTTAAGCCAATCAGGAGTAAAACATGTGAAGTGAGATTCCCAGATGTGGTTCTACTTGAGTCTTATCAAAAGGTTGCACACTCATCTAGAGAACAACTGGCTAGGCCATTTAGTAAGATTAAACCTCAAATGATGAATGTTAAGGAACTGAAAGAAGAACTATGTGTAAGAGGAGCATCGTTAACTGAGGATAAAGCTCATCTTATTAGAAGATTGGAAGGGCTTCTTGCAGCAGAAGTTAGTTAGACATTCATCATTCTATAAATGTCCCTTTTTGTTACAAAAAGAAATAAGGGACTTCAAGGAGAACATCACAAAGCCTAGTTCTAAATCATTCATATTATTGTTTTCATTATTATAATGAATAATATGTCATTGATCCAAATTTTATAAAAATAGTGTATGCATATATGTGATAATTCTAATATAGGAACTTAAAACTGAATTGATGAGTTCCAGGAAAAAGTAAAGCTGGATCTGTCCATCTCAACACAACTGCTGTAATTAAGTATCAAATTTGGAAAAAATATGTTTCATAAGATCATGATTTTGCAGCTCTAGTCTTGATATTCATGTACGTACTTTGAAAGTGTCAAGAGTGACATGAGTCAGAGGGCCCCAAATGTTACCTTTGTGAACAAAAAAAGAAATATTATTGATTCAAGGCACTTAACAAAAAAGTCATTACCTGGTGTTGCTGATAATAAGTGTATTAAACAAATAATCCAATACAAAATATTGAAAAGATACTGAACATTACCCACCCCTCAACACAATACAAAACCAACAACCAACAGTGTTTTCTAAAGCATCAAGAACAGCCTGATTTTGCTCTCCTGACAGTGCTACTTCATGCCACTCTAGTTATTTAAACCATCTAAGTCTCAATATCCACATACAAATTCTCCTCGCTGATATCCATACATTTCCTTCAAGGAGTAACTGAGTGAAATTGGTGAAATATCAAAGCATTTTCCCTAAGGGGATTTTTTAATTCCCTTAACCTTTCTCTTGATAATGTACTGACAATTTTGACAAGATGCTGAAAATTTTATAGTATCTACCAGCATCATTAGGTTTTTTCTTTCTTTTTGTTAAGAACATTTGAATAGATATTTGAACTTACAAACCTAATGAATTACTGATATAAACCAGTGATAAATACATGTTGTGGTTCAATTTTGTCCTTCCTTTCAATTTTATCTTCCCTTCGTCTAAAACTCGTTACCATACATTACCACAAGACAAAGTAAAATTAAGATTGAACCAAAGAACCAAAACAATAATATTACTTCACAAGCTAATACAAGCGAAATAAACAAGATTTGTTTTGCAGTAAAAAAATGCAGACCTATTCAATGTTCATAAGTTTTTGTTTTTGATTATCAATAGCAAAATCCTCCTCATTGTACCTTTGAATAAAAGGAGAAAGGGTCAAACGATTTGTTGACATATTGTAGCGTAGTGTAATGGGAGTATTCCTTCTAATAACTACAGAAGATCGCCCGGCATAGTGATATTTACCGTCCGTCTGCTTTCTGAATTTCCACTTGTGTAAATTGTTTTGCCCAAAGAATCTAGAAGGACAAAATATTTTTCCAGCGGAGGCCCGCTTTTTAATAAAATTTCCACTTTATTCCCTTTCCCTGATAAATCAACTTCACAGCCATATCCTCGAGCAAGAGTCATGATGTGTCTGAATACCATCCAAGGGATAAAAAGAGTTGTTGGATTGGTGAGCCCCGTTGCCTTTCAGTGAGTTTGCTTGTGCTTTAAGCTTTCCACTAATTCCCGCAAATATGAATGGACGAGGGGTCCAGAAAGATCGAGTTTATTTCCACACACCTTCTCGTGAAGAGAATCCATCTCCCCCATTCTATAGTTTGGCTTGTTTTTAGCCTTTCTCGCGGACTTTATCCATACTTTTTCCACGGAAAACTTTATTTCTACCGTACTGGTGTTCCAAAATACGTCTTTTCGCTCCGATCTATCGTTTTTAGCCCTTAAATCTAAATGCACATGCTCCCTTTGGTCCGCCATACTTTTCACGTGTGTTTTCTAGACAGGTACTGGGGGAAAACTGCTGTCAATAGATGACCCCGCACAAACGGGAGAAAACTCCTTGGTTACGCCCATAATTAAAAAGAGTACAAAGAGTTGGCATGATAAAGAAAATCACCAGTTTTAGCTCCATGACTTACTACACGTGCAGCAAGCTTACGCTTTCGCATGTTTGAATATCTTCGAACATGGTCCACTTCCGGTGTTTTAATCCCGACCTCAGAGGAAGTGATGTCAAGTGAAAACGAACAATATGTGGCATAAAGTTTTTATTATGTGTAAAATCTATACGCACATATGTGACATATATGTGACATATGTCACATGTATATGTAGCAGATATATGTACAATATATGTGGTTTTGGTAAGGGCAGGTAGTACTCCAGAAATGAACAAAGAGCCCAAGTCACTTACCACATTTTTAGCACCAATTGTTGATTAATTGAAAGCATTGTGGAAAGAAGTAAAATTTATGACAAGCCAATGTCCCGGACCATTAACTTACCGGGGTGCTCTTCTCCTTGCTTCGGCTGATCTTCCAGCTGTGTGGAAGCTTTGTGGATTCAAAGGACACTCTGCACATCAGGGGTGTTCCAAGTGTTTTAAGTTCTTTCCTGGGAATTTGGGTGAGCAAAGAGACTAATCTGGGTTTGACAGGAGTATGTGGCCACCTCGTCACAATAGCAGCCATCGGAAACATGCAGAAATGGGGAGAAAAGCACTAACGAAAACCAAACAATGAGCTATTAGCAACAAAGTATGGTGTTTACTACAGCTGTCTCTTAGAACTTGGAATACCTTGACGCTGACAAATTCACAGCTATTGACCCTATGCATAATTTGTTTCTGGGAACTGCAAAGCATGTTTTTAAGTTATGGATAAAGAACAAGTATTTAACAAAGAAAGACCTGAAGGCTATCGAAACCCTGATTAATTCATTTGATATTGGCACTGAAGTTGGGTAGTTACCACACAGAATTGCATCAAATTATGGCAGCTATATGGCACTGCAGTGGAAGAAATGGACTTTGATTTATTCATTGTTTCGTTTCAAGAGTCTGTTGCCAGAAAATGACTTCGAATGTTGGCAGACATTTGTTCTTGCATGCCAGTATTTGTGTTCTCCAGTTTTAACAAGGACTGACATTCTTAAGGCTGATCTGCTTTTGTTAAGTTTGGAGAGCGTATCGAACAGTTGTACGGGAGAAAGGCTGTCACACCAAATATGCATCTTCGCTGTCATTTAAAAGATTGCCTTTTGGAATGTGGACCTGTGCATGCATTTTGGTGTTTTAGTTTTGAACGTTTTAATGGGATTCTTGGAGGGATGCAAGTAAATGGAAGATATGTTGAGATGCAGTTCATGCGTAAACTTCAGACCAGCCGGTTTGTCTAAAATGTGAACTTTCCTGACAAGTTTCTAGATACCTTTCTGCCATTTTTTCAAACAAGAAAGAACAGAGTCAGTGGAAGGTCTCATCGTA